AGAGCTGACAGTATTACAGAGAGGAGATCCTTCTACGAGTCCACGCCCTCGAGAGTAGGGCAGAGAGATCGAAGAGCGGAAATATCTCTACCTCTTCCTTGATGGACTTTCAGACTCCTGTCAAGAAGCCCAGAGTGGATCGAAACCCGTCCGTCTCGGTCGAGGTCTCGTCCGTCGAGACTCCAGCCCCCATTGCGAGACCACAGGATGCGGTACCTTCCACTCTCAAGAAGATGTTTGGTTACGTGTGGGGACGAGGTGGCTCTACCACCGAGCCTATCCAGGAGAAGGGTGGAGGGTTGATGAAGGACTTTGAGGCTGCCAAGGAGAAGGTAAAGGAGAATCCTCCAATGAAGGAAATTGCTACTCGCGAGGCTCCTGTGGTACCAACCATCTCTGCCAGCCGTACCGTCCCCCCATCTATATTTGTCCCTCGCCCCACACCGAGTCCCGCTCTCGCCACCTCTGCATTCTCCTCCATCCCCAACACATCATACAACTCCAACGCATCGTACAACTCTGACTTTGCATCCGCCTCTTACTCTTCTTTCCAAGGCAACTCCTCGGGACGCTTGTTCCCGCCACTTGAGCCTTCTCTTACTCAGAGGACGTCGGCGATCGCCAAGCTGTTCCCCGATGGGGCCAGTCACATCAGGCCTCCTCCCAAGGGGAACCAGCCTATCAAACTTCCTAGTGCAGCTTTTGGGGTGAAGAGGTCGGGGAGTGTGAAGGACATGGCAAGGGCGTTGGAAGAAAGTTTTGAGAAACAGACATGATGTCTGAGTGTTTTATGATTCGTGATGATTTTTTACTTGTAACTTTTTATCCTAGTATCTTCTCCCACTTCGCTTTAGCCTCTTCCTTTCAACTGTCTATAATCAATCACAACAAGTGCATGGATGTACCGTTCTTGTCATTCTCGCCGCTTTTATTCTACGCTTCTGGGTTTACATCTGTTTCGCATCTGAGAGCACTTTCTATGAGTACTTGCTCCAGACCTTGGCCCACGCTACCTTGCCTCCAGTCTCGAGCACATCACCGTGGCAAGGGATAAGCCTGTCCCACTTGGCAGCGTTGATAGGTGCCAGCTCTTTCTTGAGAAGCCTGCTCATATATCAGCACGAGTTTTCTTGATACTTTTGGAAAAACGCACTCCTTGTCCTTGGAGACACCGGCGGCCATTCCAGAATGCAAGGCTCCGCCGGGACTCAGGCTTGATCCGCCACCAAAGAGGCCAAACAATTTCGGCAGCCCGCCGGCCCTAGAGTATTGCTCGGTCGGCGGCAAGTTGAACAGCATGTCTCCTTCGATGAGCGTCCCTGACGGATGATGGATAGCAGTCAACTCGTGGTTGACGTGCGCGTAGACTTCGTGCAGGCTGATCTCTGGCTCAAACCCATACTTTTTGGCGTTGCCGTCGCAATTGGGACCAAATAGGCCGGCCCATTGAATGGCGGGCTTTTGTTTGAGGTGACGCTCGACACCGATGGCTCTGAGGTTGGTTCAGCAATGGACCAGCTACCCACACCCCGAATCTCACCTTGCAAACCCTCTCCACTCCGCGCTAGATAGGAGTGACTTACTGAGCAGCAGGATAGTGGTCGACATACTCCTGGATATACATCCCATGCTCGCCATCAGGTGTCACCAGCCATTTGACCGTGCCCATCTTTGCCAGGGCCTCCTTTGTAGCAGCGGTCAATGGGTGCGAGGCGTAGACAAATACGTCATCGGATCCACCGGATTGAGGGGAGGGCTGGATAGAGTCGGCGGTCACTGTGGGTTTGGCAGGCCTGGAGAGACGGACGGCAGTGGAACGTCCACCGATGGGGAGAGTGCCCATACGAGTCTATCTAAATCAGCTTTGTGCGGAAGTTGACGAGGAGGGGCGCTCACGAAGGGGACAGAGAAGGTGACGATGTCGGGAGTGACCTGTCTGATGACGACCTTTTCATCTCTTGGATCAGTCGAGTTGACGCTGAGGGAAGCAAAGTCTGTTGTTGTGGCCATGGTGCGGAGGAATGTGGGGAATGCTCTGAGCGGGAGGGGTTTGTGTAGCAGCAGAATGATGAAGAGATGGAAGATGGAATGCGAATAGTCGAGTTCGCATAAGTGCGTCATACTTCAGTCATGTCTCAAGGTAATATCTCGAGACTCACGCGTGGGCATGTCCGCCACGCGGCCGCGTCGTTGACTTGATGCATTGAATGATGTTCTCTTCCTACAACCGACTCCACGTATACCCCCGCATCCCCATTCTATCATCCCATGACTGCCCAGGTGGCCGCTCGGGACGCGTCCCAGCCTCTCGTCTACTGCAGGTGAGTCAAGTCGCGTCAACCGCCTTCTCCCGCCTGACGCGACTTTTTCAGATGGGACTTTTGCAGTCAAGCATTCACCACCTATAATGACTGGGAAGTCCATTTCGAAGTCGAGCATATGCCAAATGAGAAGGCTCAGGACTTTTCGGGAAAAATGAGACGGCGGAGACATGATGGGCAATGGGAACTGGTCGACCAGGACTCCAGTAGTGCATCTGGTGAGCACATCTTTAGATAAATGGACATTGGTACTAAAACTGCTACAGAGAATCTAGTACTCAGCGGCGGCACAGGCGAATCATCCCTCGCCATGTCAATGCCAACCTTCACCCAAGCCGTTAGCGATTCTCAAGGTCACATGGATCCCCGAATGATCTTTCCTCCCCAGCGGTCTCCGGATCTGGACGACCACGACCAGCTTGGTCCGGAAGACGAATATCTGAATCTGGATGGAGGCATGGAGCGCCGTGTCTCGGCGTCTCTCCCAGAGACTGGCGCTGCCCATTCACAACAGTCTGAAGGGCAACAATCCCATTCCTCAGAAGCCTCTCCTCACGACGCTGCTCTGCATACCAGCCAGCCGCAATACACCACCCAGCTCTTCTGGGATCAAAACTCGTTGACCAAACCCCATTCACCAAACTCTTCCCCTTCAGCTGCTCCACTCTCCACGCCCGCGCAGAGAACGTTCATGGAGCGAGATCCGGATGTGCTTGCCTCATCCAGCAAACTTCATACCACACAGGGCGGCGCGGGGCAAGCCAGCTCTGGGGGTTTTAGGGGCCATTCATCAGGCTCCCATCATATGTCTCCTGAGAAGAAGACTCCTTCCGGCTCATTAGAGTCCAAGTCTAATTCAGACTCGCCCAAGACGATACAGTGGGGAGGGGCAACGACGGCGGCGGCCGGAAAGAAGGACACGCCGAGAGCGCAGGAGAAGGGAATGGATCGAGGAGGGATAGGGTTCGGCTTTGCGAACAAGTGATTTGATGTCTTATTTTGGGCTCTTGGAAACGCTTGTACGATATATGTATCAGGACTCTGTGGGCTATGTCGTCGCTTCATAGTACAGATTTACGATACATGTAAGGACACCTATTGAGTTCCAGTCGATTCGCCAAAATTCAATCTGATCATCGCCTCTTGAGCTTCAAGCAGTGCCTTCTGACGAGCCTTCTTTTCCAACTTGATCTTTTGGCTACTGGCTATCGGCGCCGCCAGAGCCTTTGTCTGCTCAAACAACTCTTTGTATGCCTCCTCTTTACCCCAGTACTCCAAGACGGCGGCGCCGCCCTCGCCGTATTCAGCCGGGTTATCAATGTCAATGATGGACTGCACATCGATAGGCACCTGCTCCCGCTTCCCTCGAGAAGACTCGGAGGCACCCTCTTGTCCCTCTTCCACGAGCGTCGCATTCTCGTCCTCCCAAGCTTTCGACCACTTGGATTTCTCGCATAGGTACTTGTAGAACCCTATCAAGAAACCGTCCTTCTTGCCGGAGGACGTAGGTGCGCCATCACGTTTCATCCGCCGAATCATCCGCTTGTACGCAACGGCAGCTGGGGTCCCATCCTCCACATCGGTCATCCACTTCCAAAACTGCCAGTCCCACCTCCAGTTTGTCCCCTCCGTCTTCCATACTTGATAGTCTAGCCCAAACCACTTGCAGAATTCGACAGGGTCACTGGTGAGGGTGATGTTGATGGGCGGGATACCAAAGAAGGGGGCGTGACGAAAGGCAAAGTGGGTGAGGTGCAGGACGACGGAGCGAGAGTAGAAGCGGAGACAGCGGCCGAGGAGGAAGCTGGTGGACCCATAGGAAGTGAGAAAGGTTTTAAATTCGATGGCAGCAGGCGGGACGAGTTCGAGGTCGACTTGGTAGAACTGGCCTATGGCGTGAACATGCACGATTGCGACCGACGACCCAGCCACTCACTTTGTCACTATCCGTATTGGTCTCGTCCAGTACAGAGAGGGGAACTCTATAGTTGAGACTATCCCCATGCCTCCTGAGTCCCACAGCCCCGATCACCCCAAAGATTTCCACAGCCATCGCCCTCAACTCATCCGCCCATTGCCCGACAACGACCTTTCCACCCTTCAACGGTATTATCGTCTTATTCTCTGGGTCCCACTCTTCCTGTCCTCCGCGGTTCTCTCCAGCATATCCGCAGATGATGTCCACATCACCATGAGAGTCTTTGGACGCGACACTGCGCGGGGCAGAGGTTCCCTGGAAGAAGGGCGCAACGAGGTCTGTGATGATCTTGGTGAGGCGGGTGTGCTGGTCCTGGGTAAGGCGGGTTGCCTGCTGGTCGAATGCGCTGCCGCCCATTTCTGTTCGAGAAGTGGAGCTGAGAACGAGGAGGATACGGGAAGAAATGAAGTGGACGACCTGCTGATGATTGCCTGGTTGGAAACCGGCAAGCCGACGTGACTTTTGATCCCGCCAATGTCTTGGTGGTTGGTTGAGTGATTGAAACAAGTGGACATGTCCAGTTGAGTGACTTGTTTAATCAGTCTTCAGCCTCCTGTCTCATTAGGCTGCGCATATCTACCTGAAGAGTCGAAGTATTCTGGTGCTTACAGGTACAGATGAAAGATCACACCATTTCAAAGAGAAGACTGCAAGTAATACGAGGATTGATGGGAAAACGGCTTGTAGCCTATACACAACAAGTCCGCGTAGCACAGTGGTAGTGCGCTTGACTACGATTACTAACACCATCGGATCAAGAGGTCGTGGTTTCGAATACCATCGTGGATTGTTCTTTTTTGCCTTTTTTTCTCTTTTCCTTCCTACCAAGAAGTCATGCATACAGTCACCCGCTTGTAGGGTCAGAAGTCTGTCAAATCTCCCTACGTAAACGCCTTGCAGTATCCTGGGCTGGTGCCTTCATATACGGTCAAAAGAGCGCTGCATAGTAGAGACAGACGCGGTGGCATGGAACAAAACCGAAGCAGTGACCAAAGAGCAATATCACAGTCGAAATTGCGCACACATGGACCTTTCGACCTCATGTAAACATATATTTTGTTACATGAAAGTGTCCCAGAGAAAATTATAAGTAGCTTGTCTAGTTTGACTGGAGAGTATAAACGGCGCACCGGCCCCAGATGGCGATGCTCGTGATGGAGATGCTTCAGACCCTTGGGCATCTAGGCGGTAGCCCTCTTGGACCTCCTCCTGACAGAGGCACCCTTGTAGTAGAAGAAGTACGGGATGGGGCCAATGACAACGGAGAAGAGGGCGAGGAAGAGCATTCCGTATTGAAATTTGAGGTTGTGCTAAAGATTTCGTCAGCGCGTGATGTTGGACGGGAACGGGGAAGCTTACGATCAATTGGGTAATCCAGAGAGGTACTGAAGCACCGATGAGGGATCGCTGAAGGAAATCAGTATCAAAGCAGCATTGAATGAGAAAGAAAGCCTTACAGTCATGTTCTTGGCAGAGATGGCCGAGGCGGCATAGTTTGAGTAAGAGTCGACAATGTACTACACTTTGTCAGATCGCGCTGACAAGTCGATAGAGGGCGAGCTTACAGAGTTACCAGAGATGTAGATGATGACCATGCTGAAACCAAAGATGATACCACCAATGCAGGGACCGACCCAGAGAATACCGGGGTAAGAAGTGAAAGCGAGGATGAACATGGCAATGGGGAGGGTGCTACGCAAGGGTCAGTGGACCGGAAGGACTAGAGCATAAAGCACTCACATGGCACCGAGCATCATGGGGTAAAGACGAGCCTCGGGAACTGAACCGTGCTTCTCGCAGTGTCTTTTATAAAGCTTCTCCCTGCGAAGAGTCAGATTCATCCTCTGACTGCGGATTCAAACAACTTACTGGATAGGCATCATCATGTTTGCAATGGCGATACCGATCTACTGCCTGTCAGCGGTGACCCAATGGAGCAGATGGGTACGTACGATGATAGAGACAAAAGAGACACCAGTCATACCCATGTTCCAACCTCGAATCTCCTCGAAAGCGATGGGGAAGGCGAAGAAAGTGGCGTAGAGCAGGGCGTAGATGAAGGACAGGTAGATGGTCTGTCATGACATCAGCAACATTGTTCTCAGGCATAAAGTACTTACGAAAAAGATGATGATCATCTCCTGGAACATCAACTGGAGAGGTCGGAGCAGCGCAATTTGCATGGTCTCTGAGAAGGGAAGTCGGTGGAGATCGTGCTCGGTCACGTAAACATCCGTGTTGTTCTCTTTGTTGAGCTTGTTGGCCTTCTTGCGGAGAAGAACGGGGGCAAGAGTCTCGGGAGTGAAGATGGACATGACGATGCAAGCGCCGGTCATGATGAAGAGGACCCAGTAAATCCAGCGCCACTGTCCGGTCTCGAGGGCGATCCATCCTCCGAAAAGAGGGCCAAGACAAGGACCCATGCTGGGTTAAGTCAGCGAACGTTTCTGATTTGTGTTCAATATGACTTACAAGAGCGTGGAACTAAAGACGGCCATGGGGAAACCTCGCTCGTGAACGGCCCAGACGTCAGAGATGGTTCCTCCAACGTTGGTGAAAGGGGCAGAAGAAGCGAGACCAGCGATCATTCGACCGGCAAGCATGGTGGCAATGTTCTACGCACAATCAGATCAGCTGAGTTTGTTATAGCTTCAAGAGACACTCACGGGAGCAAGACAGCTCGGGAGGGTGAAGAGAAAGTAGAAAACCATGCTGACGCAGTAGATGGGTCGACGGCCAACGACTTCACTCACTGCCAGTTGGTTAGCTACATGCACGCGTCGCTGAAACTCGCCAACGCACAAGGAGCAAACAAGAGAGGGCCGATACCAAAACCGGCGACGAAGAGGGTGATGGAGAGGTAGATGACTTCGTTGGACACGTTGAGTGTTTCGGCAGTCCCAGGGAGGTCACCAGTGGGCATGGCACTACCCAGGGCGACGGCCAGACACAGGACTGAGGCGGTGATGGTAGCCCACCTACAGGCGTGTTCAGCAGACGTCTATTCGGCCATGAGATACTCACCATCGACGTCCCTTGGACCACTCCTTGGGGTTCTCTCCGGCGTCAAACTCGACAATGATCCTGTCACCATGCCCCTTCTCAACGTCCCCCTTCTCGGGAAGCTGCTCTTCCGAAACACGACCTTGAAGAGTAGTGGCCTCGGAAGGGATAGTGTCGGACTTGATAGCAGTGACGGAAGGGTTCTCTTGGAGCTTGGAGATGGCGTTGGGCTCTTCAATCCCTTCTTCGTGCAGGGCCTCCTCCTGGCGGTCGGTAAAGATGGGAGGTTGAGCGAACTCGGCTTCTACCGGCTCGATCATATTGAGAAACTGTCGTGGCTGGCGGGGATCGTGATTATAGAGAAGTTCTTCGAATGAGAGCGTCTGTCAACCTGACAAGTTGGTGGGTGGTGGGAAAAACGAAGGGTTCGCGGGGGGTTCGCAAGGAGCTTTAGATAGGAGCTTGAACTATTTGTACTTGGCTATGCATAGCGGGAACAGATATGGGGAGCGAAAGATGAGCTGACGCTTTTGCTTTCGAGTAATATTTGTGGAATCGAGCCAACTTGCGAGTTGGAGGATCTTTCACGGCCGTAAAACCGTAAACGACCGCGCCCGGTTTCGGATTCCAAGCTATGTGGGAGGCACGATCAGGGCTGGCTGGCTCTAAGCGCGTCTGAAGGCGCAAGCCTGGATTCCACTTGTCAGGCGTGCAAGTTTATTGGCTGTTGCCTGACTGCATGATCGAAGAGGATTGAGGAGGATCTGGGCTGGTGAGTTTGTTGTGGGCGCAAGTTGATGACCCCGCTGCTGGCTCGAGTCCAATGGAGTACTGGCACCGGAAGGAAGCTTGGCCCGCACTTGGATGGCAAAGCAACTGTATACTGAGGCTCCGTACCAATGGGAGGGCAAACAAAATCGAAGAGGCAATGTTGAAAGAGAAGAACGGCCGGCTGCGCCGCAGGATGTACACAGTACGCATTCTTGCCAAAAAGATCGTGTCAGCGCCCACTTCCTTACATCATGAACGCCCCACTCTGCACTCACCAGCTTGCCATGCCAGATGACCACAGCAGTCATTAAGTATGGGATCACCGAGACGATGACCCAAGAGACCACGAACTTGGTGCTGACGCGAAAGAACAGTCGCGCGACGAAAGATCTTGTATAATGTACAAGCCCGAGATCTACATGCTCAGCATCTGCAGGCATATATAGACAGTCCTCACGGGCGCAACGATGTACCCCGGTCATGCGTGCATGCCCGAGAGCCCCCCCGTATCGATGGCCAAGCTGTCTGCGTGGCGACAGACGCAATTGGGGCACGTGACATGACCGTGCTCACAGACCGCGTCTGTCCATCCGGTCATCGTACAGGACACCGAAGTTGCTGTTTTCTTTCATTCTTCATCGACTCCTTCACGATGTCGTCGCAGGAGAGAAACATAGAGCATGCCCTTGCCATGGCAGATAGTCAGCCTCGTTCCCAGCCCCGCTTCAGGCGGCTCGCATCCAAGCCCCTCAAGCTCGCAGCTAGCACTTTCAAGCCTCGCAGCTCTAGAGCGCCCTCCCCTGGCTCTTCTACCACCCTCGCCCCCGACAACCCCTCCTCAGCCCCTGGTGCTTCCGTCACCGTTGTCGGCGGCTGGAAGAAGAGGGGAGCTGGTCACCAGCGCCTCTCACGCGCATCCGCCTCGGGGCTTACTCCCGCTCAAGTCGCCTCTGCTGCAAGGGGCCCGATTAAGCCCCTTGAAGGCGAAGAGCCGGCCGCATGGCTTCGAGTCAGAGTCGTGAAGGCAGAGAACCTGGTGGCGAAGGACAGAAGCGGCACGAGCGATCCGTGAGTTCTCGTCCGAAAGGAAGATCCGCCATGCTGAAGCAATACGTGCTTGCCTGGTCTGTAGATTCCTAAACCTCCTCATGCCTCCTGCGACGCGTCACACGACTCCAGTTGTCAAGAAAACGTTGAATCCCAGATTCCCTGCTGATGGAAGCACTTTTGATTTCCCGCTGTATCTCAGTCTTTCTGGAGTCATTGGAGGTCGTGGCCTTGAGGGCGTTCTTTGGGATAAGGTGGGTTTGAAATGCGAGTTTTGTACGAGGCTGACGTCAATGCAGGATCTCATCAAAAAGGACTACATGGGCGAGCTGTCGATCCCCGTCGACAAGTGGTTTACAGACGGCATAGCACGCCTTTGGGATGAACAGTTGCCGGTGAGTTTTGTTAACATGTGACAGTCAGGTCGCTAATGTCATGTACAGCTCTTGACGCAACGTATCCTGTCTACCAGACGAAGGCACAAGGTGTCTGGCAACATCTCTTTCCAGATTGGTTTCCTCCCACCCGAAGGCGCGACCACCACAGATGAAGCCGTACGCAGAATCAAGGTCGTATATGGATCCCTCGTGGAGCAGGGTAATCTGAGCAGAGGATCCGCCGGTGTCCTTGGCGTTCCTGCAGTACGTTCTTCCTGCCCAACAATAATCTAGCTGACTTTTTGCAGTACAAGGGTATCGGTACTGTCAAGATGCGAGCTCGCGATGCTCAGACCGAAGACAGGACCTGCTTCGATGGCGCTTTTGGGGCTATCCAAGGAGCCGCTTCAGCCGTCGCCGGATCTTTCCATGGTGGTCACCGTATGTCGCCTTTGCCCAACCAAGGAAGGGCAGAGCTGGATGACGACGACGATGCCGAAGATGATGACGAGGACCTCCTTTCGGACGACGGCATGTCTTCCAGCTCGTCGAACGACGAATACGAGGATGCGCAGGATGACGTCTATGGGG